AGTGACTCACTGCAACAGCATGCTCAGCAACCATGATGGAGAAGAAGACATACTGCATTGCACACAGAATGTGAATGCTTGTATGCGGACTGTAACATGTTTCAGTTCCTCAGGGCACGTACACACGTATAGTAAGTCGACACAAGTGTCTCAATTCCAGGGAGACATCTGTAATGAGGACTGAGTCATTTGGATCTAATTACGGGCAACTGTGCGGAAAAGATGGAGTAAATCAACTCAAAGTGATTTCAGTAAAGAAAACTCAATTCCAGTGTGTAAACTCAACTCGCCATAAATTTAATTAATGTTGGTTTAAATGGAAGCACTCAGCTGATTATGAGTCATAAAACATTAAGGTTTTCTCTCTCTCTCTCTCTTCTTTCCTCTTTTCACAGTCCACAAGTGAAATAACACTCTAGTGCCATCTTGTGTCTTTTCGTGCGCCCTACAACAGGTGGTAGAGGCCTGGTTTTTAACTAAATTTAAGATACCGAGAAACAATTTAGGAAACATTTTAAGAGGTATTTCAGTATACTACATACTGCTATACTTAACATGTAAAGATGCTCAGTATGTTCAAGTATATTAATGCTAATCAAATAAGATTAATAAGTTGTAAGACTCAATCTACATAATATACCTTACATTTTTGTGTGCATTGTGAGGTCAATTTAAGGGGTCATAAAATGATTAATAAGATCATTCTTACAACTGGAAACTGCCACACCCAATATTTCTTTTTAAAATACTCAGTCTTGGTTGTTTGTTCTTGTAAATTACTGTGCTAAATAATTTCACCCCTTCAGTTGTCTAAAAAGTATCCAAATAAAACAATCTGATGGGGAAGAGTCACATAAATATTACAACTTGTAGAAAATAACCTATAACAAGGAGCTGCAAGCAGACATTACTGTCTCTGAGGGGGTGGCAAGCTAATGAGGGTGGGGAACCATTGGTGTTCTGCTGGAAATTGCAGTGTTCCTCAGTTTTCCTCTAGATGGCCATAGCTACCAACCTCAGTCCACAGGAAAAGAGAAAGGAAAACAGTTTGTATTTACAGGACATATTAAAAATGGTTGATTATATACTTATGAGGAAGGTATTTCAGTGGTTGTGCGTTTTGTTTTGTGAAGGAAAAGAAAATGAGGGAAACACAACAACATATACTTCATGTTGCTGTGACATGCTAAATGTTGCAGTGAATTATCAAGAAGTTTTGGTATTAACTGAATAACATAGACATTCAATCACAACTCCCCCATGACAGAATCTCATGCACCCCAATCTACAAGGGCTGTTAGTGTAAAACTACAACACCTGACAAGTATCATGTTTGCTCCATAGAGCTGACACAGACCTCATTGTAAATTACTTTCACAGCACATCAGTCTGACATCACACAAAGTCACATTTGTCACTGGTCTATTGATTTATTATTATGTGACAATGAAAAGGTTAAAAGCTAATTGTATGAGAAATAAATGAACTTAAATGATGAGGCTTTTGGAGAATTGAACTGAGTCTAAGGAGAGGTGCTCATAGATAAAAAGAATTGCCTATTATTCTACTTATTGAAGGTGTAAATCATTTATTGCCATCTTTGTGATACAAATAAAAGCAGGTTTTAGTTGCTATAATAAGTTGTGGATAATAAGGGAAGAAGATAATTAATCACAAGGGTGTAACCTGTGTTGGAGCTGATACTGTATATATGCTGTAAACTACTGTTCTGTTCTCGCTCCTTCTTGCTCGGCTGGTGTTCATGGTGGTGACGAGATGACATGAACTGTCTCTTCTCAGTGTCAGCTGTCCTCTATATGTGGCTGTTTGTAAGTGATCTGAGCTGCGAGTGTACAGAGCTGCTGATGCTCCTGAAATGAAATCTTTAGCTTTGGATTACGCCTCACCTGTTACTGGAGAAAGCATGGCCACATATTTGTCTGTATCCTTGTGGGTCTATGTTTACCTAACTCATTACACACATGCTAGCATCGCATCCACGTGTTCTGTGTCCCAGTAGTCATTGTCAGGCTATTTCTGTGCATCTGACCTGTGGTCAACAAACAAAGGCATATTAGTTCTGCAAATACCTTTGGGACCTTGGGACTTGGAGCTACCTTTTTTTTCCCAACTATAATGGGCAACCCAACCCGCTTAGGCTTGCCACCGACTGACAGTGCCAGCAGGCTGCCCCAGGACCTTGGAGCAGTATCAAGCAGACTGGGCCAGCGTCCCAGCAGCCAAACCCCAACAGATGCATCACACTGAAGTCGACATCACAAATTCAGGGGACAAACATTTGAAATGTTCTCCCCTCACATATAAACACATACATCTAAATATACACTTCCCCGGTTAGGGGAGTTACTGTAGCAGAGGAGTGGGAATAAATCTGGTGTATCGATTTAATCTCTGCTGATTTCTATTTGGTCTTGTAGTATCTTTTTCTACATGGCTTTACTTTTCACACAACATTTTTATTCACAGGATATTCTGTGTTTGAATATTACATGTATCCTCAACAAATTGTTTCTTATCAACATGTGCAAATCTGAAACACTGACATCACTACTTACACTCAAACTATTTACTGAGACCATAGTGAAGAGATCATTTTAGGTGGATGAGCATCTCCTCAAGTCACTGTGATCCAGATCCACAGCACCAATTACACAGCATGAAACATTTGGACAAATTTCTAAAAATTTAGGTGTCAAATATCAAGTTCTAAGTCAAGTTAGATTACTTTCTTTTTGTGTCTGCCTCCATCTCTCCTTCTTTAGAAAAATGAACAGTGTCAGGCTATACAACTGATCAGTGTTGTGTAGTGACAATGTCTTTGCACAGCAGTGTGCTGCGCAAACAGTGGGACATGTTCAGAAACCACACTGTAAACACACACAGTTTGGTGCTGTTCTTTTTTTATTTGAACACAACCTACTTCCAAGCACTGCCCTGTTCCTCCTCTGCAGCTCTGCCATGCAGCTCTCTAACAGTGGATTAGTTTGGACTTGTAAATGCTGCAAAGCTCTGAGAATGAACATCGATCTCTCAGTTTAATGAGAAACAACATGGGACAGACTGCAGCACCAACTATCCCTCCCTCTCTTTTGCTCTCAATCTCTTTCAGCAAAGTAACACACGCATGATTTCTTCTTTACACCAAAGTGCCTGACAGTCACAAGAACTATCATTTCTATTGTCAAGCAGCCACTTTAGCCAGCAGTATTACAGATGATGGATCTTACTTGGGAAAGTTAGCCAAACGCGTAAGTGCATATTATGTGAGGAGGAATGACTTTACTGTCTAGGCAGAAAAAAAAAGACTAAACTAACTAAAATTCACATGTGATGACCACATACACCAGCACATTCTTTCCCCAGACCAGTACAGGGACTTTACATCATCAGGCCAGCTTCGGCTGGTGGGGTTTGATAAATTGGCCCTTTAACTGTACGTCGTTGATGTGCATTGTGTCAGTGGGCTTGTGTGCACTTGAATCTGTGAGTGCACCCTTGTGTGTGTGTTTGTGTGCGCGTCTGCCTGGGTACATTGTCTGAACTGTGAAAAAATGCATCATTTCAAAAAATACTCAGCATAATGAAACTGAAAAATTATTTAAAAGGGGAACAGCCATGTTGTTCTTTTCAGCCAAGCTCAAAATTTGGTAGATATGACTGCTTTGGGAAATGTCTGTGGTCCAAAGAGAGTTAATGCCATTTTTGATAGATCAAGGGCAGTTATTGTTGGCTCTGAAAACCACTCTGGCAGCAAACACGAGGTTTCTGTGAGTTCAACCGTCATACATGCCTGTGTAGTATTGTCTTGGCTTGATTAGGATTCACAAGCGACTGTTTATTTATTCCAATTTCTTAGAAATACATCCTCCTGAAATGAGGGTGGTTTGGTTTTGCTAGGATAATGATTTGTGGAATCTGCCGCTTTAAATGAACCTGTTCTGTTCCAGTGGGTCCGTGTTTAGAATTAGACCTAGGGCAATAGACCGCAATCATCCTCATATTGTAAGCTTTCCTGGCGACTAATCAGCGTCTTGCTTTCAGGTTGTCAGAGTAACATCAGCATGCGTAACACTGAATGAAGGTGGAGGAAGAATGAACTAGAAATATTTATTCTGCTTTAGTCAGGTACACAGGGCTGCAACATACTGGTTATTCTTGTTGATAATTGATTCATCTTTTTAAACATTTCAGTGGTTGATTGTTAAAGTGAAAGATGTGCAATCACAGGTTCCCTGAGCCCAATGTGATGCACTTCAGTGGCTGGTTTTGTCTGACTAACAGTCCAAAGCTAATTCTCGTAATTGTCATAGTTGACAAAATGGAACAGCACAGCAGGTTTGTTTGATATAAGACTTAAATGATTCATCATTCATTATTAAAATCACTTTTATTTGTCAGTGGGCCAATTGTTTCAGCAAGCAAGTTAATTTGTACTGTTTATCCAAATGTTAAAGAAAAATACCACAGGATAATTATTCATCTAAATCGCTTGTGGGACTCTCAGACGACCTGTCCAGGACATTTTCAGTGAAATGCATGCTGGGAAATTTGTGCAGAACCTTAAGCAGAGGCGTAACCTGCCACCCCTCCTCATGCAGTAGGTGGCCTGTAAGCCATGTAACCAAAGAGTGATTCCTGGTCTGTTTCATCGAATAATTGTAGACCCCTGAAGACATCAAATTCCCCAATTTATCATAAGAAAAATCAGTAGTAAAGTGCAGCATAGGCTACCTAAACTTAGGCGATTTTGTGTTCTCAAAACATCATAGATTTATTTTCCAGTACCTTGGGTAAACCATGAAAGTTGGTCGATACCACAGGCACACTGTTTTAAGCCCCTACAGTAATATTATAGGCTACAGTATCATAATAAAACATGGGAGAGTATTAAATGCCACTGAGCTGAAAAGGTGATTGAGCACACCTGAGCAGCATAAATACACTATTAGGGTACAATTAGCCAGTGGAAATATTGTGTCAGTATTACAGAAGTTACCTGACAGGGAATTCGCGCGTTCTGTCTTCATTTTTATGTAGGCAGATATGAATGTGGTGCTCTGTGAAGAAACCTACTCACTGGACCAGTGCTCCCACACACTCTGCAAATCGAGTATTCAGTGCACACTATTACGCACTGTGTTGCCTGAGCCGAGTGTCATTCATTCTGGTGAAGGGGAGCTCACACTCCCCCCTTCGGCCCCTTCACCCCCTTCCCTCGCCCTGGGATAGCTCACTTTGTTTTCCCTGGTTTTTGGTGGCTTTTGGTCGGAGCAGCGGTGGATGAAATCAGCAAAGCTCCGTTTTTCATATCTCCGCATATACCACGGAGTCACCAGAGGACACGCGCATCACGACAGAGATCAGAGCGAGGGATTTTTTATTTTTTATCTTGAACAGGGGAGGCGATTTAAAACAAGAAATAGTGTCGAACAGCGGCGTTATCACGGACGCTCCGCCTTAACAAGACTCCGGTTAAGTTTGGACGGATTTTACGGCACAGGTGCGTTAAAGGATTAAAAACAGGGAGTTGGCGGATGGTTGTCAGTTTCGTCGAGAGGAGTCACTGCCTCTGCACAAGGTGAGTGATGTCCTAAGAACTGAAATGGAAACACTGCAGACTTCATTCAACAGATGTATTGCAGACGGGCACTGTAACCTTGTTGCATGGTTTCTGTTTGACGACTGTTTTAAAGTTTTGGCACCTTGAATCTCTCAATGGTTCTGTGGAATTTCTGCGGGGATAATGAGTTTCAGATTGTAGTAACCCCTGTAGCTCAATCTGAGTAGTGGTATTGATCTACATTTCATAACACACAGTATACTACCTCCTAGTTTCCCTATATACAGTCTTTTATTTATTAGTTACGATGGACTGTTTTCTCAATTAACTTATGTTTTATTTGATCTACAGAATGCTAGAAAATCAAAATGTTTATTACAATATCCCAGAGTCCAAAGTGAGGCTTCCAAATGTGTTGTTTTGTCAGAACAACAGTGCAAAACAGGCCCTGATCAAGGGTTCACATTGAAATGTGTTGGCCTTCTTTTTAAAGTTGCTCAAAACACCACAAGTGTTGCTGAACTTTGTTTTCCAGTTAGTTTTTCCTTGAATGTGCACCTTGGCAAATTGGTGAAGTTGTGCCAGAACGTCCTGCTGTATCTTGTTTTGTCAGAAAGATCATGAAAACCCCAAAGATATTCAGTTCACAATGACACAAAGACAGAAGACCAGCTCATCTTTACATTGGAAAAGATGAAACCAGAGAATAGAAAGAGTTTCTGCTTGAATTCTTTTGGCAGTTAACTATTCGATTCATATACTAATTCCCCATCAATTTACACGTGTTTCATGAACTTGGAAACAGTTGGCAAACCACTGTAGTTTGAATTAGCTGCAGGGATTTTCATCACAATTTGGAAACTTTTCATAGCATTACCAGCTCTGCCCCACCTGCAGTATTGAATTTCTGTGAGAAATGTGACACATGTCAGATATACTATGGATTAGCTCTGATACTTGTTGCAGAGAGTTTTACCGGCTCCTAGCCATGTCATTGAGACCCCTCTCATTGCAAGTATTGTCACTTTGGGAAGAATGTCCAGCCAGAATCCTACTGGGCGTCTGCAACAGGATGATATCAGCTTATGGTCTTTTCACAGCCCTCGCCTGCCTGTCACCAGGACTGATGGCACGCACACACATACAGCCCAGACTATCCTGAAATATCCCTCTTTCAGACACATTGTAATGAAGTGTCATGAAGTAAAATAATTCAGTTTGTCATCACACAGCCATCACTCGAGTCCTCAGAAAAGGATGTTTTAGTAACCCATGCTGCACTTACTACAGTAGTCACCCTTTTATTTCCACTTGCACTCGGTCTAGTTTTCCAAATGTGGCTCAACTACCAGGGCCGAGGCTTCACACTCTGTTTAATACAGTTACTGATACAGTTATTGAAAAGTCAGCACAACAGATCTTTAGTTATTTGCTGTTGTTGCTTCTGTCTGCACTAACATGTACTGCAGGTCACTGCTGCAGGCAGGGGTGGAGTGTCCTAGAGAATAGAATGGGTCACAATAGAACTATTTTACACATATGTATGTGGAGTCACAGCTGCTTTTTACTTTTACTACTGTGAATCTGTCAAATAATGGATTAATCATTTGACCAACAAAAAAACAAATAAGATTGATAGCTTACAACACGGCCTTTGAAGACGTCATCTTGGGCTTCAGAAAACTGTAATGGATAATTTTCATCATTTTCAGACATTATATAAACTAGACAGTTAATCAAATAACCTAACTTATTAGTAAATAATGAAAATAATCATTGGTTGCAGCTATATTTTAAACAAAAAAAATGTTAATTTCACATTTGGGAGGCTGAAAGCAGCAAACCTTGACAGTTAACAGTTGATCAGTTGCACTGGTTTACAATCAAAATGCTTCCAAAACAAAAATAATCAGTGTGCTATTGTAATTCTGGCCCATTGATAATGAAAATTATATAGGAAATTATTGTGGACCTGATTTTTGCTTGAAAATGGCCAACATTTTTTCAAATTATAGACAGAAGGGAATAGTTTGAGCAGAACCAAAAATTGTAAGCAAAACTGTCAGAGTGATCTAAAAACAAAACTATTCCCTTTTGATACAACCTTTTTAGCTAAAAAAATAGGCTGGTATTATCTCAGGCAGTACAAGCCACACATTTTTTCATTTAACTAAGACATTCCTTGAATTGTTATAATACTATCAGCCCGAGTCAAAATGTGTCCTTATGTTGTCAGTTAGCTCTTTGCACATTGGCATACAACATAAATGGCTAGAACAGCTGAAATCTTTCTTAAAATTGTAGACCAACATTTTCAAAATTGTTGCCCAGTATGTTTCAATAGTTGATTTCCAAGTCAGTAAATTTTCTTTTAGGTTACAACTGAACATGTTTTTGTGTTGCATTGTGTTCGGAGCTAAAGTAATGTTGAAGATTTTAAAGGGAACATAATACATTGGGGGAAAAACCCACACCAAAAAATGAGAAAAGTCACTTAGAATGGTAATAATACAGAGTAGCTAAGAGCTACTGTGTCTAGAAGTACAGTCTAAATGGACACTCCGTTCTCTTTCTGTCTCTCATGAGGTATTGGACTACATCTGGGGAGAATCTGGGATCAAGCTCCTGGCATAATTTACCCAGTCCTCAGAGACGCAATGTGGTTCTTAGACACTTGCTTTCTTTCTGTACTGGCAAATAAAGTATATGCACACTTGTAGACACAAACACTGAGCAATAGCTGAGGCACTGATGCTTTTGAAAAGTGACTATGGCTTCTTTGCTTTCTTTAATAGGACAGTGATTGACTGAGTGAGCACATGTGCATGAGCATTTCTGTTCACAAGCGTGCTAGTGCTCTAGTTTCTTTAAGATTTATAAACCATTGTGTGTAGGTGTGTGTATGTTTTCCTCCAGCGGTGCTGCATAGCAACAGGCAGCATATCCCCTTCCTGCACATCTCCGATTTCTTTTTCTCACGCATCATATGCTGTGACCTTTCTGCTGACTGGGTGCATGTGAGTCTTTGCATGGGTGCATTGGAATCTGTTTTAATGTGAGTTTGTGTGTCCATGTTCATCAGGGCCTCAGCCGTTTGACCTTCTTTCAGTGTACATTCATTAATAGCTGCAAAATAACTAATATAGAACCGCCCTCTCTGCCTGTCTACAGAATCAAGATATCTGTCTTACAGCAGCATCCACGCAGTGCCAACCTTTTCTGAAGAGCCTTTTATGCTCTCAGACAAAGCAGAAGTCATCACCATTGTGTAGTATTGATAATGATTTGATACAGTTTGCTTAGAGTACGTGGCAGTTTATCATTTTAGACTAGTCCACAAATCTCTCAAAGAGAGTAAGAGAAACATGTTTAAGACATATCTTGACACGTTTGTCGTGTTATGTTACTATCAGTGTTAGACTAATAGCTGGTTGTATAATTCATATCTGGGCATAGCAGAGAGCCCTTTAGAAATCAGTTTTCTTTTGCTCTGTCACCA